CCAACAAAATCTAAAAAACTCACTTTGTTCCTTGGCAAGGACTATCTTGGCTCTTTCCAAAAATCAAAGCCTTTCACATCTGGATGCATACATCCTATACTATACTAATACTTATATATATTTTATTTGCATTATGTTGGGGATGTTGAGAAAAGGCTTTCAAGATGAGGCACAAATAATAGAAATTTACAGGTTTCTTACATCACATTGTCTCATCCATGTATTCGTCACAATAAAAATCGTGCATAATAAAGCACATCTCAAAACAAATTGACAGAAGCATAAAAAATGAGAGCTGGATGTCTGCTACTCTGTTTTCCAGTCAGATTCGAACTCTACGATTCCACGAAGGAGGGCAATTATCTTTGGAGACACGGCCGATTTCTTCTTCTTCTTTCCTCCACTCTTTACTGGACCCCCAGGACTGATGCCAATGAGTTCCCTGAAAATACATACAAACAGAGATGTTATCTTGCAAATTAATCTTCATACTTCTAACTACGCTTAACTTCTCGAAATTTGAATATTGAAACGAAAGAAAATATGTCGACTTGGAAAATAATGACTTAAACAACTTGTCAAAAGTCTGTACCTTGTCTTATAGCAGGAATCCTGCTATAAATGCATCTTTTTATAGTGGCTTTCCCACATTCCCCATCGTTTTGACTATGATAAAATATGAGGATTGGCAATAAAAAGCTGCTTGCGGGATTCCTGCAGGGGGGGGGGGGGGTCTGTTTCTGCTTATGTTTGTTTTATTGGTTGGATATGGCTGAAAATGAAATGATGTGAGGAGCGATTTTGTTTCCAATTCCGTTATGGACTGATACTAAGCTAGCAACTTGCAATAATCTGTATGAAATCAAAACACAAGTAGTGCTCTAACCATAAGCTGGTGATTAAAACACCTCTTCTTGCCAAAACAAAAAAAACAAATACCAGCTGCTAAGCCAATCCGCGACTTGCAGCTTGAGCTACGCTGTCTCCGCGACATGTGCCATTGACTAGTATGGTTGGCGTTCGTCGCACAATAAACCCGGAAGTGAATGCACGTTATAGTCAATGGCAATATCGCAGAGATGTCTCCGCGATATTGCCATTGACTATAACGTGTATTCACTTCCGGGTTTATCGAGGGAATTGCCAACCATAATTTCAGTCACTGGTTTCGTTCGTGCGCGGAGATGTTACGCGATGTAACCATGGTTTGGACTGAGCGGAGCGCACGCCCCCTAATTAGCTGATCCACCAAATAGCGAGAAGGGTATTTTTAAACTGTTATCAGTTGTGATCCCTGGGGGCTAGCGAAAATATAATCACATAGAATTGTTCCTTAGGACTGGGACTACTTATCGATCGGGGCGTCATATCTCAAAAGTGACAAACCTCAGAGTTAGCCAGGACACAATGTTTAAATTGCTGTTTTGACCAAGATATTTTTAAAATTTCGGGGGCTACGCCCCTTTGGAAATATTGGAATTCACCTGCTCTTTCATATGACACCTCATTCATTGATTATCACCTTCAGGATCACAACAGATAAAGGTTTGAATCTCGATTTGAAAAAAAAAAATTGACTTTTTTTGCATGGTCGCGCAATGCACGTAGGCTGCATAGGGATGCGTGTAATCTCTATGGGAAGAATTTTAGCACACAACATCGGGTGCGCGATCAGACACCCTACTACTAGAGTTTTAGACCGATTAAATCTGTCTCTGTTTTGGGGGGCCTAGTATTTACAGTACGGTCATTAATCGGGCGGCCCTCCCCGTTAATGACCGTACTGTAAATACTAGGTCCCCCAAACATAGACCGAAGGCTCCGGCCGTGTGTGTCGCTCTCAGTCATTAACATACGGACATTCTCTTTTTACCCTCTCTCCACTCAGAGGGTAAAAAGAGAATGTCCGTATGTTAATGACTGAGAGCGACACACACGGCCGGAGCCTTCGGTCTACCCCAAACAGAGACAGATTTAATCGGTCTAGCTTACTTTACTAGAGTTTAAGCATAAATTCTCGAGTTCTATCCGACTTAAATCTCATCGTGGTGATCACCAACAAACTCAATTCTTAATACTATAAACACTACATTGAAATTCTTGTTATAATACCTAACGAAAAAGAGACTTTAATTGACAATCGACTTACCCAATCCAATTCAAATCACAGGCAGGCCCAGGCTCAGCTCACGAACGAACTTCGCAGGTATGTACTGCATGCATTATGTACATAGATCAGACTACACTATGAACATGACAGACAATAAAAGCGGACAAAATATACAGTTCCTCAGGTAGACAAAGGGACAGCCCTTCACTGCTATTATGTAAAAATGTGTAGAACAGGTGTCACATGCATATTCACCTGTTCTACACATTTTTACATAATAGCAGTGAAGGGATGTTCCTTTGTTTTCCTGAGGAACTGTATATTTTGTCCGCTTTCATTGTCTGTCATGTTCATAGTGCTAACTAGATAACTTCTATGCTGCACTGTACATGTACGTACGTACACATCATGGTAAACATGCACAATTAATGCATGGCGCGCGCGTGCGAGTGCAAGCAGCTAGCAAGCTATAGCTGGCGCTGGCCCGGCGCGCCCGGCCGGTTCGTTCTGATCTGATCGATCGCCATGCATGCATATATGGGCGCGAACGAAGTGCACGCATGCATGTTACACGCTATCGCTAACGGTAACAAAAAAGTTGGCGGCAAGAAAAAAGAAAAGAAAGAAAAAATAAAATAAAAAAACAGAAATCTGAATAAGATATGAAAGCACTATTAAAACTTCCTGTTAGAAAAAAGAAAAAAAGAATAGAAAAGAAGAAAAAGAAGAAGATTAAGAAGATGCAGAAAAATTACGGTACCGGTATAGTTACAGTTTCAGTTCGTGGGAGTTCGTGTTGTTTTTATGGCATAAAAAAAAAAAGATTTCTGAGAGGTCTACATGAACTTTGAAGTATATATATAATTATGCCTAGCCTACTAAAATTTAGGCCTATATAAAGCATAACCTCTGATAAAAGCAGACTAATTTCCGGTAAAAACGAAATCTTCTTTCCCTTTTAAATGTGCCCGAATTCGGCAGCTTGAGTCAATTAACAGAAAGGTTTTGTATTTTTACCGCAAATTATTTTACGTTGTTGAGTTTAAGGCATTAAAAGGCAGTTAAGGTCTTTTTTTTTTTAAATTGAAAAGGGTATTTTGTAGAACATTAAATATCTATAGGGGATCTGAATGTCCTTGAAAAAAAACCCTCATCAACTTCTTTTTTAGATTTCTGTCAAATTGCAGTGAAATTCAGCTATTAATTTTACAGAATTGTTTACGGTATTTTCCTCTATAAATTCTGTCTTTTTTATTCATTAAACTAAATGAGATTGCTTTGAATAAATCGACACTTTGTAGAATTAAAAGCAAAATCTGCTTAAAAACATAGGCCTACGAATTTCCATAAAGAAAAAAACAATCCTTTTTTTAGAGAGGGAGAGAGATCCGTCCTTTTCACAGCAGAAAATGTCAAGTAACATTAATTATCAGAGTGGTTTTTGTACTATTGTTTCCTGTATTTTTTTTATTCATTAAAACATGAGGTTTACTTTGAATAAAAAGACACTCCATTTATTTACATGGGATCTTCTTTTTAGAGATCTGTTAAATTGCAGAAAGTTTCTAGTTTACATTTTTACAGAATGAATCTGTATTTTAATTTCTGTAGATTCTTTCTTTTTATTCATTAAAACATGAGGTTTACTTTGAAAAAAAAAACGCTCTGTAGAATCATAATAAATCTGCATATTGGATCTGAAAGCATACAGAATTCCTATTAAAAAAAAACATCTCCCCTTCTTATAGAAATCTGTCCTGTTAAATTGCAGAAAATTCCAGTTACATCAATTTACAGAATGGTTCTGTATTTTTGTTTTCTGTAATTTCTTTTTTATTATCCGTTAAAAAATGAAGTTTTCTTAATAAAAAAAGAACATTCCGTAGAATTGTAAAAAATCTGTATATGGGATCTGAAATCACGCAAATTGCCTGTAAAAAAACAAAATCTTCATTTTTTCTAGACATTTGTCCTGTTAAATTACAGAAAATTTGCTGTTACAACACTTTAAAGAATGGTTCTGTATTTTTTTCTCTGTAAAATCTACTGTTTTTTTTAACAGTGTACATTCGAAATATATTTGAAAATAAATGGACTGAATATCGTTGCCAATTTGATGAATGATATGTGTCGCTGAATTGATTTTTGATTTCTACAATAAGAATGATTTCAGGGAATATTTTTATTTCTTTGTTTAACACATACATTATTCCAAGTGTGAGTTGAACCATTTGAATGAAGAATAGTTGGTGCCCCTTTAAACGTTCTATTTCTGTATGGCAATGATCAAAGCAAATAGGATATAATCCTGTTTTGACTGCACTTAACTAATTACGCCCAAAACGTTTTCTTTTGATATGGCAATGACTTTTAAAACCACTAATTTGTCAGCTAAAGAGAAGTTGATGAGTAGTTCGATTTTCGTTAAACCACATAAATAGTACATCATTGAATTCATTAATGATGACGACTGCACATATTCATTTTACCATGACCTACATTTGGATCTGTAAAGGGAAATTACGGCATTCAGTTCTATTCGAAGAGTTGTTTGGTCCTCACATGCCCTCAAATTCGTCATAATTATATGATGAGAAAAACTGAAAAGTCTGGACCAACTCGTCAGTTTACGCCACATGTATGTGTAGTCCCATATACCAATTTATATGTACAGTGCATGTTATTTATAGCAAGATAGACGGTCGATTTATTAGCATCTTAATGATAAAAAACCTCACAGTATACATCAATTATTATGTAATTCATTATGAACCTTCCCAACTTGCTTCCATGCAGTTTCTGTCACAAGGCGATCGCCAACAAATAACCAGTACTCCACTTTATTTCCAAGATATCGGTTAAATCTTGTCTCTTTTTTTATTTTTCTTAGGATGGATTCTTGGTCGCTGAACCTCTTGCTGTTGGTCTGTTTGAGTAGTCTGGCATCAAGCATAGCACAAGATGGAAGATGTACAAAGAAAGTCAGGTAAGACCACACCTCATGTAATATGATATATACCTTGCAAAAGTGCAGTAAGAGAAGCCTTAATAATCCTGCTAGCGCTTAAAAGTAGATTATTGTTAAAATATATAATTGTCATTATTATTATTATCTTTGTAATTGTTATTAAAATTATTATTATCATAAGTAGAGTAGTAGTAGTAGTAGTAGTAGTAGTAGTAGTAGAAGTAATAGTAGTAGTAGTAGTAGTGGTGGTGTTAGTATTATGATCGTTATTATTATTATTATTATTATTATTATTATTATTATTATTATTATTATTATTATTATTATTATTATTATTATTATTATTATTATTACTATTATTATTATTTTCATTATAACTATCCTCATCCTCCTCATCATTATTATATTATGATGATCACTATTATTGTTGTATTTTGGAAGCATACTGCTTTATTTCCACTGATGATAACTACAAAAACATCAATAACTGCTACAACTACCACTACTTCTACTACTAATACTACTTTTACTACTACTACTACTACTACTACTACTACTACTACTACTACTACTGCTGCTGCTGCTACTTCTTATTCTTATACTACTGCTACCACTACTCCTACTTTTACTTCTCACACTTTGTTCGGTTTTTCTGCGTTTCGTCCTATATTGTGCAATGTTATCACATTATGCCACAAGATTATTGGCACCGTGATTTTTCCGATTTTCCTGGCGCTTACCGCTTCTGTTCCACGTTTCTTCCGTAAACATAATCAGACACCCGCTAGTAAGTCATATCGTGGGAAAATAACTCAAGATTTGGGCATACATTGAATATTAAACCATATGACAGAGCCTTCCCAAGCACCATGTTTCCAAGGTGTGAGTCATTTGAAGACCAATTTAAAGTTGTGTTTTAAAGAAAAAGAAATTTGAGTAATAACCTTCAAGGTTTCTTTCGGTGGATGTGGCAGTGACAGTGAGTCTAGGAATCGTATTTGTTTTGTGTGACACAGTTTCTAAGGACAGGGGGTTAACACGTTGCATCGAAAATAAGATTGAAAATAAGAAATAAACGTTTAGACTTTACTTGATTGATAAGTCTAGTGGACATGTCACCGGACTATGGATCGTATGCTTCACGGCAATAATGGCCTTTGGCTAGGCATTAATCCACGTTTACCTCTCTCCGCCCAGGTGTATAGTAAATGGGTACCTGGTAGAAATTCATTTCTTGGAAGCTTTGAGTGCCTTATGGCAGCTGGAATAAAACTAGGTTAATGATCGAACTTTGTAGTCGCCTTATATAATAATTTCTTGGGATAGATATGCAATATTTTTATAAAGGGATTGTGTTTAAACATTCTGAATCTGGAGGCCGATATTTTTAAAGCAAATTTTTACAAAACCTATTCAAAAATAATGTGGCAAAATATTTAACTAAAAATTAAATAGAAAAAATTATGGCTTGTCTTACTTAGCAATAATTTATGTTATCTGTAATAGGAGAATGAAATAATTTGTAAAATGGCACTTGACAAAGACTTGACAATTGGAATTGTCAAAAACAATATATCAGGAAGCAAGTAAGGTATAGTAGAGCAATAAAAACAACAACAACAGTTAAAAGAAGACAAACTTTAACATGGTACAAAAGTACCAAAAGATAGAAATACTCCCTAGGGAGTATTTTATCCGATTACCGGGATAATCACATTTTGTTCTTAAAGATGGTGTATGGCATTGAGTGCTTTATAAATCAAGTGTAGTTTTATCATATGAATATCTTTCGAAATACTATAGAATCAAAAGCCTAGATGGAGGACTTTAAGTACTAGACGAATATGAACCAGTTGTACTCATGCTGCTTATGTTGAGGTTGAGAACATCCGGACTCGGATATAATTTCAAGGATTTCGAGTATACCTTTGACGATGTTGACATTTTTTCATTCTTATTCTCTTACTAATGTCATAATAAAATCACTTGTTTATAAGTTGAAGGAGATATTGAAGTGCATAGTATATCCCCTAGGAAACATCACTCACATGAAGCCTCTCGTTGATCAATGTAAACACCAAATACAGGAAATGTCTAAAATTGGCTTTGAGTGTGGCACTTTTACGTTTTGGGTATAATGTATGGTTCTATAAATGTTGGTCAATCGAGGAAAATCAAAGATAATAACGATGCGTTAAGTGCCAGAAAGGTCTCTTGTACTGTATGTCCTCATCAAACATAAAATTAGCATAAACGCGAAGGTTATACAGTCGCATAGGCCCAAAAGATATCTCTTAATCAATTGGATGTTATGAAGATAAAATGGCCATCATTATATAGGGGGAAATGGTCCACGTGCATTTCATCATGCGTAACGTTTGATGACGATCAGACAACGACATAACTTTGTTGTTCTAGGATTTTAGAATTTCCGAAATTGAGCGGGAAGCATTAGCTGTGTCTCATTTCCCCATAAATACAATCAGACGACAAAATGGCGGTCAAGAATGTCTCTTGTTTCCTTCCTCTAATTGTTTATATCAGCAATAAAGATTGCCAATTTGAAAATAAATGATCTTTTTATTATTTAAACAAGTCGGGTACATATTGATGTGCTATCTTAAGATTACTACCCCATGAAGATAAACACTGGTATATATGCTGTGAAATAATTTTTGGAATGCCAATGTGAATACAATTTCTTTTTGAAATAGATTGATATTAATCGATGAATTCAGTTCAGTTTATTTTATTCAAAACCACACAAAGCATGATATAATCTGTTACATAAAAAAGAGACTGGTAATAGTACATCAACCAACATTTTCTAACTTAATAACATCATAAACTGAATGGTTTTAGGACCCCTTTAGAAGCTAAGCTTCTAAGCGGGGCCCTATAGTCAACGAAATACATACATTTACAGTAAAAAGAAAGGTTTGTGTAGCTATTAACTCCATGGTATAAAGTTACACTGAGTGTCAATGTTCATATCTCTGTGTAAAAAGTTTGTGTAGCTATTAACTCCATGGTATAAAGTTACACTGAGTGTCAATGTTCATATCTCTGTGTAAAAACAAAGTAATTCCATTCAACACAAGCCCTGAAGGATACATTATAGCGGTACCTCTGTATCTTAAGTTCTCAGTATTACATACATTTTAGAAAAAGGTTATTGCTATACAACTGCTTCTACTTCTACTATTACTACTTCTACTACTGCTACCACTACTACTACCACAATTGCTACTACTACTACTACTACTACTATCACTACCACCACTACTACTACTACTACTACTACTACTACTACTACTACTTCTACTACTGCTATCACTACTACTGCTATTACTACCACAATGGCTACTACGTGTACTACTTCTTAGGCCCAAAAACAAAAATAACGTGTTTCTCATCCGGACTTTTAAAAAGGGAGGAGGCAGGGCAATACTTTTGACTATTTTGCAATTTTCTGCATTTTTTCCAAGATGGCTGCCATGCTAATGTTAGCTGGCCGCAAGCCTATTTATTCACATATATTGTGCTTGGTGAGTACAGTGATGTAATGTATGACAAAACAAATAATTTTTATCACTTTAGAAGCTATTTAAACAAACTGTATATCACAGGCTTTTTTTCTGGCTTTTTTTTTTTTGCTTCTTAATAGTAAATAGTAAACAGTAAAAAAGAAAAAGAAAAAGGAGAGAAGGCGGGCGGAGACGGGAAACACTTCATTTTTGTTATGTGGCCTTACTTCTACTGCTGCTGCTGCAGTTGCTGATGCTACAACTACTACTACGACTGTACGACTACTACTGCTAATACATATTAAGATGGTCAAAACTAAATAGTTAGAAACTTTTAATCGTCTTATTTTGTTTCTCTCTCTCTCTCTTTAGTCGTGTTGTCTTTTACACGGAGACATTCACAAAATCATCAAGGGAAGTATACTACGAGAAATGTGGCTTTTTTTACCTTGCAAGGTGTACCCGTTACAGGTAAGTTATCAATACTGATGTCCCCGTTTGGACGATTATTCCCTTCAATACTGATGTCCCCATTTGGATGATTATTCCCTTCAATACTGATGTCCCCGTTTGGATGATTATTCCCTTCAATACTGATGTCCCCGTTTGGATGATTATTCCCTTCAATACTGATGTCCCCGTTTGGATGATTATTCCCTTCAATACTGATGTCCCCGTTTGGACGATTATTCCCCTCAATACTGATGTCCACGTTTGGCCGATTATTCCCCTCAATAATGGTTATGATTAAAATCATCTCGGCTTTATCATCCAACAAATGGGAGTGTTGGCTCAGTCAGTAGAGCGTACGCCTCACAACCGGGAGGTCGTGGGTTCGAACCCCGGCCGCGTCATACCAAAAGACGTTAAAAGATGGTAGTTGTTGCTACCTTGTTTGGCGTTCAACAATAAGGGATAGAGCAACGTCGATCTGGCGCTGCTCAGTGGCTGCCGGGCTCACGATCAATTGGGCAAAAAGAATTTCCGTTTCGGTTTAATAAAATTTGGAGTAGACTATTAGGCTATTATTATTATTATTATTATTATTTTTATTATTATTATTATTATAACAAATTCCACACCTCTAACGCCCTTTGACAAGACATTGATCTACGCTTGCCACACCTGACCCAACATTAAAAGGGCACCAATCAACCCCAAAATACAAGTTATTTATCACTGAAAGACATGAAATCATTCATCATTATATAAAACGATTGAATGCAAAACGAACACTGCAAACGTTGCGTTTGGATTTATTGTCGCAATCGCTCATTGATGTGCGGGATTAGCGCAGGTAGTGACGCATGATAATTGACGCTTCGTGTACAGGGGGCGTTTGGCCAGACGGTCGCAAGTTCGAACCATTAATCATTCAGACAATGAAAAACATGCCCAACGTGTACAGATTATTGATATACTTTGTGTCACTGTGTTTAAATGCGTCATAGCCATATTCATTCCACACCTACGTATTCACTGATTGATCGCATATCTGACTGTGAAGAATTATATCAGACATCAGAGTCTAGTCCAACCCCTTTTACTTAAGAAAAACTGATGAATCACCTGCATTATCAAACAAAGATTGATCTCCCACGTATAGCCAATCACTTAATCAAACAGAATTCCCTGTGTCACACAGATAGATCTATTGATTATAAATTATCCACCCACACTGTCCTCCTACTGAAACAATTATTCATCGATCGACCTGTCAGACCAAAATTAGGCCCTTTATGATTTACACATTAAATTCACTTGGGATTACACGCAACAAGCTATACAGCTGGTTAAATCGGTTACTCAGTCAGAGAAGTTAATGCACATAAAATATTTATCAGTATTGTAGTCAACGATAAATGTTTACATAAACAATTAATCAATTAATTAAGTAATCAATTCTACAATGAACCAGTTAGTCAATGCATCAACTGATTCAGGTCAATCAAAACCAACCAAGTTAACCAACCAACCAACCAATCAATCAATCAATAATTGTTGTATTAAGCAATTAATTCATCATATTGTTCAGCCAGTCGATCACCCATTTGAGAAATTAGTCAATTAACCAACTAAACCATCAATGTAAAACCAATCCCAATCAAATCAATCAATCAACTTGTTAACCCATCATGCAATCAGTCATTCAATCAATACAAATAAATATTAAAAATAAAAAAGTATATTAATATAATCAATACACTTTCTATACGATATAATTTCCTTATCATCATTATCCTTGAAAATAAGGAAAATACGTAAGTGAGTGCAAAAACAAAACACCCAGAAGAATCCCCGAAATAAAAAAAAAAAAAAAAAATAAAAGCAAATGTTTGAAAATGAAAGAGAGAATAAAAGCCATAGGGCATATCGGAAATAGTGCGGATGGGAATCATGACTCGACAGGTTAAACTGAAATATTACCATATTTAGGTCAAACATGTTTACAAGTTTGAAATTTAAAAAAATCCCCTAACCCGTACAAATAAAAATAATGATACAAAGTAAAAGGAGGAAATAGTTTTATCATCATACGTTTCAGATAATGCAGTCAATTAATATTTTATTATACTATATCAGTTTATTCATTTAGCAAATTCTGTACTATTTTGTTTAATATATATATATATTAGGATGGTTGAAATAAAACCACTGAGTAAATGATTACAGTTAATTTTGCTTTATAACTCAATGAAAAATAATATTTGGCACTCCAAAGGATGGATGTCTCACGCATAGTGGTGCCTTCTTTGAACTTAGGTCTTCCCTGTTTTTTTGCACAGTTCGTTATCCTTTTTTGGGGGAGCAATGGCTTAATATCGAATAAAATAAAGAAAAAAGAAAAGAAAAGAAAAATTAAAAACAAATGTGAAGGACATAAAGAGGGAGCATGAAAGAGAAAGGAGAATAATTGGAATATAACCCCCCCCCCCCACCCACTGCTTACTTGCACAGACCATGACCAGTCCCCCCCCTCCTCCCCCCCCCCTAACCCCCCCCCCCCCCCCCACCCACCCACTGCTTACTTGCACAGACCATGACCAGTCCCCCCCCCCCCCCACCTCCCATCCGTGACTGGCTACACACTACATAAATATATGACCAGTAATTATGATTGTAATGATAACAAAGATGTGCTATGTAGGTGGATGACGTTTTCTTTTTCTGCAAATCGATGGCTGAAATGTCTGTGACGCATAATGAGTAATTCATATGTTGAAGAAACAGATTTCCGATGTTATTATTATTACTACTTATTTCACCTCAAACTTTCATCGATTTCCTCATCAAATAGGTAGGATTCAGCGAAATTCTAGGCATGAAATAATATTGGGGATTTTATTGATTGTTTTAAAGAATGTCGGGCAGTAGGGCAAGGTTTAATTACACAGGTGTTTATTCTATTAGTATGCATTATGGCAATTAATTGACACTGGTTTAGAATTCAATCATCATCGCCCTTGAATTCAAAGTTTTTCCATTACGACTGATTATAAAGAATTAAAAACAAGTGAGGTAGAATGATTATTTGGTGAAACAGTCTTGAATTGTCAGTGAAGCTAACAACACGGAGAACTAATCATCAGCTGGTGCTCCAGAACTTTCAAAGCGCTTTTATAGGAATTATTGAATTAAAAAGATCAGTTCAAGGTATGTTATATGGGAACCAGAAATCTGGATTACTAGCTCTATGACTGTATTATTTTTGTTTTTCACCTAAACCTTATTTAATTAATGTAATATAACGATCTCGTTTGTGTTTGTTTTATGAATAGGACGGTGTACTCAGTTGGTTCTAGGAGACCCAGCAGGATCGGCTATGTGTCGGACTATGAGTGCTGTCCAGGGTGGATAACAGAAGGAACGAATTGTTTACCAACTCAACGTAAGAATTTTGAACAATTTACCTTTTTGTCTGTATTATGCTTCTAAAGTAAGTGTGAATCCTTTTGGGTGAATGCACTAACACCGATTTGAGACGAAAGACATGTTCCATGGGGAAATTATGTTGGGAAACTCCCGTCCCATTTTGAAAATTCTGGATTTAATACCAGAGGATTTTTTAACATCATCCAATAAAAACGGCCTTATTTCTTTTGCAAGGCTATTTTCTAGTTATAATTGCCAGGAATTACATCAGCCACTTAAACAAATATTTAAAAAAAAACGAAAACTATTAAAAATGAACAAACAAACAGAAAAAGAAAATTTCCCTTGAACCCTTTACTTATCCGCGCAGCCGAGAAATATCCAGACTTTTTCATGACAACACAACCCCATACATTATCTTAGATCATATTCAACCCATAGTTTGAATAGAATTTTCACTGTCTCTCTAGTTTGATAAATTGATATTTTGTATATATTTTATTTCATTTCATATTTACCATGCTTCATCATTGATCACTAATAGCACCAACAACGGAAGCTGTAACAACGACTGCCCGGCCAACCACAACGAAAATCCCCACCACCGCTACAACAACGACAACATCACCATCAACAACATCTCGATTTACAAGTAGTCATAACAGCAACAACAACGGTGACACTCAGCGTCACTCTCGTACCCGAACCTCAACCACCGCCTCGCCGGACAACCACATCGAAACCTCGCCTGTTTACATCGGTGGGCAAGGGAAATCGGCCAGCTTGCTGTCGAGTCGGCCGATGATGATGGGCATATCCGCGGTCGCCGTGGTCGTGTTCTTGGCGATGTCGATCGGTGGGGTCGTCTGCGGCGTCAGGAAATTCTGTCCGAAGAAGAAGCCAGTCGGAAGGTGAGATTGCATCATTTTATATCTCCAAATTGTCCAAGCAATGATTATGTTCTAGTATTTCCATGATTTTTTAAAATTCATCATAAACTGATACCCTTTATGATTAGAATGATTCATAATAGTCCAGTATTCGGTCGATCGGATTCTCGTCCGAAAGCCTAGCCCCCCCCCCCTCCACTCAGTGTTCTTTAGGGTACGGGTGTGCATGTTCCCTCCATTCAAAAGCACCCCCCCCCCCCCCTAAGTCCGGTGAGTAAAGTCAATACGGGCCGATTTTGTGTGTTTTACGAGCCCGAATTTGTTGCGTGAAAAGTACCCCTTCCTTTAGTCAATCATTTTCATTTTGTTTGCAATTTAGATGTTTTTTGCTTACCAAAGTACTGTCTGCGGTACTTGAAAGACAGTTTTCAATATCATCTTTTGGGCTTAACGTATTCCTTTGTTCCTGATTAAAGTAGAATAAAAATGTTCACTTTGGATTTTTTTTATTTCTCCCTCGACCCCTAACCAAGCAGGTATAGGAGGACTAAACTACTATTCGCTGATATAATTTTCAAGTCAGTTTGATTTGCTTCCCTTCCCCTCTGACAATCTTGAACCCGTCCCTGAATCACATCCTCTTCTACATTTTGGAAAATTTCACTTTTAATTTATTGAATTCACGTGATAAAGTGATCCGTCAAACAGGAACACATTGGTGAACATTTTATGCATATTCCCACTTTTCAACGGAACAACCTTGTTATTGAATACTATTGAGGGTGGATAAATTGAGGAAGTATGACAAATGGGGTATTGTTTGTTTTTATATTGCACTGAATTAATTCTAGCTTGCTGTGTTAAAATGAGTTAAATTCTTTTTTTTTATAGAGCTGCCGTTGATTTTCGAAATAATTAGAGGTATATTGATTCAATCAAAGCTGTAAACATCGGTATCTTTTACGTTATGTATGGTGATTGGAATAATAATGATATTACAGAAAATATTCTTTTAAAGAGATATTATCTTTTTTCATGAAAGATTTTGAAAAAAATTATGTGAATCTTTCAAAATAACTGAGCTAACACCATCACACTATTTTTTACCCGAATTCAATCATTTTCGGTAAACCCGTGTATTCTTTGTTTATTTGCGTTTCACTTTTAATTTCTCGTATACTGCTTTGCGCTTTCATTGTTTTTCCCCAATATTAGGCAAAACCTTTTTAATTGAGACCATACTTTCGCTGTAAGCACGGGTATAGTTTATCATCTGCAATTAATGATAACTATTCGATACGAATCCTAGTTATACAATGGCTCTTCGTGAACAGGAAGGCAGTTACAAGTGCTTACGTCATTAAACTGCCAAAGTGACGAAATTAGTGACCTAGAATAATATTGATTGTCATAAATTGGGTGCGATCAGGGTCTTCTTTTAGGTCCTATGTACGACTAATTTCACTCGCCTTGTTAACGATGTCCAACTTTCGATTCGATCATGTCTCTATATAGGTCTATAGAGTCTTCTTTACGTCTTTCGGTCTTAGGTCCTTCCCTTACTACACATAATTTGCACATTATTTTTCATATCTGAATATACAATCACTTTTCATTTAGACAAAGTGAGTTGAGGAATGACTACAGAGAAGTGAAAGGCAGGAACTGCCCACGGAAGCAACCATGTTTTCTTATCTTCGTATGAGGAAATCTAACAAATATTTAAAGAACACACATTGAAGTTTTTTAATTGAATTGGTTCCATGGGTTATGTTGCGAGTTCACACGTTGACAACTAACCCCATGACAACTAGGCCCTAGGATAGTTGTCCTAGAGTAAGGCTGTCGTAGGGGGTAGTTGCCTGGGGTTAGTTGTCGTAATGGGTAGTTATCCGGGGTAGTTGTCGTAGGGGGTAGTCGTCCTAGAGGATGGTTATCCTAGAGGTGGTTCTCCAGGGGTAGGTGTCTTAGAATCGTAGTTAACATATAGAGTGTATTTTATAATCCATTCATTTTTTATTATATTTTTACAGGATGGAAAATGAGTCACCAACAAGGAGGGATAGTGAAGGTAAATACAGACAGGATATTTTTGTTTGACAATCATTACTTCCCTTCAACCATAATGAACACTTTAAATAATTATGACTTTAACAAAAGTAAGTGTGTGTGTAACTACATCATATACCGTAAACTATTGTTCTTCTCCTCCTGCTCCTCCTGCTCCTGTTACTTTTCTTCCTCCTCCTCCCCCTCCGCATTATCACTGCTACAACTTCTACCACTACTATCACTGCTACTTCTACTACTAATAATAATGCTAACACTGCTAATAATATTAGTACTATATACTACTACTACTACCAGGCGCGTACGCAGGATTTTTTCAAAGGGGGGGGGGGTTAACATTTTTAAATCGGGCCGAAAATTTCGCAACGACTCAGCCAGCCGCTGAATAAGCGGGGGGGGGGGGTAAAAGGACACTTTTATTTACCAAAGGGGGGAGGGGTTTCCTCCAAAATACACACATAACAAATACCAAAGCCCCCCCCCCCCCCCCCTGCGTACGCGCCTGACTACTACTACTACTACTACTACCACCACTACTATTACTAATACTACACCTACTCCTTCTATCTATTTACCTATCATTACCGGTCACGCTTTGTTCTCTCTTATTTTCTCATTATTCTTCCTTTTTGTCCAATATCAGCTCAGCTCACTCGCTATTTCTCCCCCTCTCTCTATCTTTTTGTATAGCAGGTATCCAAACGAACGGAACAGTGCCCAACGGAGCTGTAGGTCATGGAGATCGACCAAAAATCAAACAGAAGGTCAAAGGTCACAAGGGAAAACTGACAGCCACTTCAAATCCTGGCTATGACATCATGGACCTTGCAGACACTACGCAGGAGAGTTCCTACGAAGCTATCGACCCTGAGGCAGGTCCACTGAAACCTCACAAATTTCAAAAGGATGCTAAAGGATTTGAATGCGTCAATATGTCGGATCTAATGCCCTCATCGGCGAAACATCTTCAAACTAGTCCTGTAAAAGGCCGACGCCCAATTGGACCAGCCGCTGTCACCGAAAACGAGTATACCGCTTTTGCAGACGAGCCCCGAACTTCACCCGAACCATCCCAAAAGAAAACAGTTTCGAAGGACAATAATAATCATCGGATGGGTGAATCTATGGTTGGACAAAGGAAACCCCTTCCTAAGCCTAAACCTTTTCCAAAAACCAGGAGAAATCCGCAGCCTGTCGAGGGTTCATCAAACACATGCGCACCGCCCTCTGCGGCCAATCATCTGGTCGCACCTCCTGCGGTAACGGCACAATACCTTGACATGTCCAAGGGACAGACCTCCCCACCGACTAATGTTGATCGACGCATCTGTGAGAGGGAAGGTGCGTCACCAAGGAAACCTATTAAAAAGTTCCCTTCACTGGAAGAAAGTCCCAAATCATCCATCGAGGATTGCACTGTAGATTTCCGATCTAATTTGTCTGGACTCTCAAGTGGTAATTCAAATTTGTATGACCATGTTGGTGAGACCAGATCAGAGCCAACATCAAGACGGGGAAGTGAGGCAAAGCATGCATTTGCTACACAGGGTATGTATGTTCTCCCGGGAGACCTATCCCCTGCAATTACCAAGAAGTTACAGAGTGTGGCCGATGAAAAAATGACATGTACATACGTACTAGGAGATGACGTGCCTGGACTTGCTCCACGCTCCCCTCTATTCAGTGACAGTTATGGCCCTGTAGGTAGCAACCACGACATGGCACGTGATTCAGCAAACGAACTTAGTAATCCATACGATGTTGTTGTTACGCCAGAGAACAGGAGAAAGATGCTGAAACCCGTTATCACGAAACGCGGTTATGCCGAGCCTCGTCAAGATAGTATGGATCAAGACAGTTACTACGAAAACCAGAGGCGCTCGACAGCATCGCTTCCGAACAACAGTAGAAAACTGTCCCTTCCCGTCCAGCCCCATGAAGACGAAGAGGTCTACGATTTCGTAGAAGTTAAAGACTCTCGTTCGACGACGACGGGAAGACCTCCAAAGGTAGCTCCCAAGAAACCAGTGTTGACCTCAGGTCAGGAATCGCAGAAAGCCAAGGAAGCAATAGGGAGGAGTCGGTCGGGTCCGTCCTTGCTCCGATATGCAGAACTTGATTCCGTCTACGTGAATACATCCCGGTTTTGAATCCTCAAGGATGGCTGCAGATGACTGTTCATCCGTATTACCAAGGAGTAAGCAGTCTTAACAGTTCTGGATGATGCCCTTGGAGAAGAGGAAAGACTTCCCATGGCATGGAAGGGGTTAACCCTTGCCAGTGTCGTTGTTTGTATGAATGCAATAAAGTATGGATGATAAAAGCTCGCGAAGGTCATTCATTATAAAACTCATCAAGGACAGACAAAGGGACTATCTTTACATCCTTTAGCTGTTCGGATGGATGAATCTAGTGTAAGGGAAGCTCCGATGATCCATTAGGCTTCTGTATAATTATCATCACCTAATCAGTGACATTGTATTAATAAGTATCCCGTCAAATTGAGAAGCAATCCAATCTTCATAATTGATGTAAGCGCTAAATAAATGTATAATTGCCTGGAAGTCAAGGTGCAATGGGAGACTAAATTCTACCGTATACTTGTCTGCAATGTCATATTTTGAGATAAAAGAATAATCATTTACTCAATCTGTCTTGTACTTATTGATAATCTATATCATTGCTGATAAAAGCTAATTATGTCATGTTATTCTGTGATATCTAATTGCTGTTGTAACTTGGTAATGGAGCGGCTTTGGTTTGCCTTTTTCATGTGTAACTCCTTTCTTTTTAATTTTTAGAATAATCTTGAATGTAATGTTAACAAGAAAATCCATAATATTCTTATTACATCTTTAAAGAAAATATGCACCAGTGATTTTTTTTTCATTGGTGACAATATAATTTGATCATTGAATTTGTGTCGTATAGTGAACAAAAATGAATTTAAGAAATACCCCAAACTATAATATTATGTTTGAATACAACGAAGAAATAACCTTAGGGTGTTTATTTCTAAGTGGGAGAGACGGTTAGGTTATTAACGGGGACAAAAGATAAATAAAGAAAAGACGAAGTTGTCATCATATACTCAGAAGAAAGAGTCTATAATATCAACACAAACAAATTGGTATATGTATTTATAATGTAAATGATATTAATTTTGATTAGTCTTCTGTGTGGGAGAGTGAACCGGCTGGTACGGTCTCTATATACTTGTACATCCGTCTGGATAGAAATACTATTATTACTTCTATTGTAGTCGATTGGAAGGTGATTAATTTTCATCATGGTCTACTGACAACAACGATTAATTTTGTGTAAAACCCTTTGAGTGTATTAGTCGTAAAGATTATACGTTATTCGTATAGGGCCATACATGTACTACTGAGGGAGAGAGGGAGAGGGAGACAGGGAAGGAGGGATGTAACCTTTAGCTGTTTGTTTGTAATGAAAGAATATAAGCACTTTCACAGAATCAAACGAAATTGTACATAATGCAATAAAATCTGACAACAATTGAGTAAGTAGCAATGAAATATGAAAACCGGAGGCAAGGAAATCCAATAAATTTCGAGGTGTTTTTTGTGCTATGTTTTGGTTAAATTAAGGTCTTCATGTCTTGAATAGCAATTCTCCTGTCAAAACTAAATTTAAAGGCTTATAACAATGGGTTTTCATGGGGAATTTGACACTATTCGGGTGTTAACCCAATAACAAGCTTACGTGTTGTCAGTCTCCGTGAGTAGAATTTTACTAATGACATGTCTTGTGTAATGTACTGTGCCATAGTCTACTGCTAAAGGAATTCTCATTGTAATATCAAATCTCCCTCATCTTTGAGATATGAAGACAAGTTGGAGTATTTCTTGATGGGATGATGGGTTCGCTACTTGAGAGACCTTTGCACACACAGACACATTTATTGGCAATTCAATCAAATCTGGTGTCAGCAAATTATGATGCAATACAAATGGGCACTGACGATGTGTACTGTTCAAAATTGCGGCGTCTGTTCCAGGGAATCTAGTTTAAAGCCAGGAAGTCATTATGCTCATGTGATATACTGTTTTGTATTTTTTTTTTCTTTTGATCCTTCGTACATATTTTGATGTGAAATGTATCTGATTACTTGTACATTTCATTAACACGTTCAATTGCAAAGCCAAGATTTTCAACTATTTTCCAACGATTTGAAATATTTCATTTAAAGAATGCTAACTCATTAATGTCAATAACTCATAGTACTTCCAGTAATATTGATGATGTAAGGTGTATTAATAGAATAGTAATGCTCTATTATTTTTTTGGTTAATTGATGAACTATAGTTAGAGTTATCGACACAATTGCTGGCGATTTGTTGATGTATATAGTGATGTGATGTAGAAATTGTCATGAATCCGATACTCGAGGAATTGTAGATTTAATCTTGTCGCAGTTTGTTCCATCATAACAATCAAAGAATTTTTGATGAGATGATAAACTACTCTGTAAATATTATTAGTAGAAAATTTAATAAGATTATATTGACTATTTTAATGCTTTATCTAATTTTTGTATATATAATTATTTCAAATTTCCTTTGAAGGCAGTGTAATTCACTAAATGTGAACGATGCAAAGAGTACTATAGTTTTACTATCGGAATAATTGGATCAACATTATGCTTCTAACTCGCAGATATACTCTATACAGAACTGCATTTATCAGAAATGTAAAGACGAGAATAAGTGTTATTCAATAAAACATGGGTGACTATTAATAATTATCGTGCATTGCGTGTCCATGTTAGGTTATAGTGACGTGTATTGTTAACAGTGGCGCTCTTTATGATTGTATTAATGATATAATGTATTGCATTTAGGGTCGATATTGTCCGTCTTAATAATTGCATAAACACTTCACTTAGGTTGTGTTGATAAAATGAAAAGAATAAGTATCACGCACTTTCATTATTTTGTCACGAGATTTAAAACAAAAAGTGAAACATAAACTGAAACATTTAAAAGGAGTTTTTTTCGGCACCGGGCTATATGCATTGAGTTCGACTATAATGATAAAACGCCCATATTTTGCTATGATGATCTTAAAACATTTTAATTAGTCAGCCGTGCACATTTTTATAGGAGACATTATGTAAACGATGAAAACAAATGGTCAATATATCGCAAGTGTTTTTTTTTTTTAAAGAAACAGATATAGAATAGAAGGAAAAGAGAGAAAGAGAGAGAGAAAGCGAGACAGAGAGAGAGAGAGAGAGAGAAAGAGAAAGGAAAAGAGAGAGTGAGAGAGGTAGAACGAGAGATATGAAAAAAGAGAGATAGAAAGAGAGAGAGAGAGGTAGAGAGAGAGAGAGAGAGAGAGAAAGAGAAAGGAAAAGAGAGAGTGAGAGAGGTAGAACGAGAGATATGAAAAAAAGAGAGATAGAAAGAGAGAGAGAGAGAGAGAGAGAGAGAGGTAGGTAGAGAGAGAGAGAGAGAGAGAGAATTAAATGGAAAAGACAGAGAGGATGAAACAGAACAGGAAGTTGTAAATTTGAGATACAAATGAGACACACATATTAATATTACCTGTGGAGAGAGATAGGGAATTTCCCTGTAAGTGCAATACAGAATGGATTCAAAGATATTTTGTCAGTTATTAGTTTATTAGATAAGCGGGAAAACCGAGAGACTAGTAATATGGCAGAGCACTTTTCAATTGAGGTTGGAATAAAATATGGAATGGTATTTGGCTATGGTAGTCATAGTGACAAAATCAACTTATTAATTAAATGGGACGATGAAAAGGAACGATCGAACGCGAGATGCACAATATAGCAAAATGTCATCATGATAATACTCCTGGGAGAACCCAGTGATAATCTTCTTAGTCCGTTGCTAACAACATGAATACAAAAAAGCATATAATGATTAATATTATGACAAAGCCCAATCTAAACTCTGTCAGCACTTTGGCTACAGCAATATATTCCTTGGCTGAGTTGCTTGGCAACATAGGAAACAATGCTACGCATGCGCATTCCTGTCACGACGCCACCCCCAAAGTTTTTATCACTCGCAAAGAGAGCGCGCAAACGCCGAGCCATTTCATTCATCCGTTATCATTTGTAGACACCCCTGTACACTTTTTCAGGACTCTAATAATACTGTGGCGGATCTTCACGAAATTGATTTAATCTTTGGATATTCATTTTTCACCATTCCAAGACTAAGTAAGTGTTTAGCTCATCTGCTATTTTGTCAAGAATGTTATCATTTATTTTCATAAGGACAGTGAAGGAGTCAATAAGTTACATTACTAAACAAATATTTTGATTATTCAAAACTTCAAGAATGTGATTATCTAAAAAAATGAATACAAATAATCCTAGGTCGGGTGATAGAAATTTAAGAAGAAGGCAATAAATAACTTTGAGAGAAAGATGATGTACGAATTTTCGGCTGTAAGCTTTGTCAAGGAAGATTAACCCCTCATAAAAAGTTATGCAATTCAAGTTCTAGCTTTGATATAGTCTCGTTAGTAAATTATTTAGCTTGACGTTGGTCTTCATTTACAATAATGCCCCATTTGGAATGATTATGTAATCATGTGCAGAACCCCTAAACATGGGGCCTAGTCAAAAGAAAAATGTTGCAAAATGCATTGTTATCGTCAATAGTGAATTTGTAATTTGTTTGGAGGATGAATTGTGTTTTGGAAAATATAACGACGCATTTTGCAACATTTCTTCTTGACTTTGCCTCATATTCAGGTGCAAATGTACTGCATAGTCCATGATTACATAATCGTTACAAATGGGTCCTCATTTTTAAAGGGAAAGAAACAGGCCTCTCAATGATACCAACGTCTGGTATGATAATATACTACAAGAGAGATATCAACGCTAAAACTTGGGTTGTTTAACTTTTTGTTTAGAAGTTTATATACCTTTGTATGTGTGAAAGAGTCATTGATAAAAGAAAACGACGCAATTTCTGATGATAAACTTACTTAAAGGTAATACAAAGTTTTGGGATGGGGTCATGAATTTTTATATTCAATTTTTCTTGTGCTTATAAAACATCTACAGGGGCATCCAAATATATCAAAATTGTAAAGAATCACTTTCCACCCAATTTTCAAATTTCCCAAAACTTTGTATTACCTTTAAAGGTAGTGTATCACCTTTGCAGCCAACTTCAAATTCTGTAGAACTTTGCAGGAATTATGAATATGTCACGTTTACTTTTTAGACTTCATTGTCAGACACTATTGAGTGACTGTCTGACTTATTTTTTTTTCTTTGGTAATAACATACATAAAATGAGCTGTAAAGGGTCCATGAGCATTTGTTTACATGAAAAACATAATATTAAACTGATTGAATCTTAGCGTAGCACAAAATGTACGATCATTCGGTACAAGGGTCTGAAAATCAGAATATTTAATTAAACGACCGCGATCGCTAAATTCAATACAACAATTAGCGGTCGGTCTTTTTACCCTAAAAGACATTTTCAAGCCCTTTTGTTTTGAGTGAAGTTCTAAATTAGCATTATCTTTCAAATGCCGTCATAATTGAATCTTTTCATTTTGTTCGCCTGCAATTGGGACATAGTACCTTACAAACTGACAAATATCATTTTTGTCACAAGAATAACAAGGAAGGCTCATACATGGAGTCGAAGAAAATTTATTTCAACTTGCACAAAATATTCGAGACAAATTAAATGTCTGAAAGACTGATGGGATAGGCCTACAACTGTTACCAAATATGAAAACGATGATATGTTTTAGGGTGAGAAGTCACACATTATCTTTGATTTTTATGAAATAGAATGATCAGAATATGAATCAATGCAAATGTAAAAATAGGCGAATCCTTTTATTTTAATAAAGTTGCTTCACGAAAATTAGTGAAGTAAAGTAGGTAGAGGAGAAGGTAAAGAATATGAAGAATTACCAATCCTATTTATGAACGCATGGCATGTGATCATATTCTTAAAGGTGATACAAAGTTTTGGTTTGGGGTCACGAATTAAACTTATTGGAAGCATATGCGATCTTTAATACAATATTCAAAGACCATTGTCGTGGTTGAAGTCGAGTCTAAATCGTGAATAATAAACTCTTTATCTTGTATAGCTCCCTCTCAAGAATGATATTACTTTAGCTTCAAAACAATGTTTCTTGACTAAAATCGACCGATTTGGAAATTATCTTGGGGGCTTTTCATCAACATTTGCCTGCCAACAACTGCCAGCACTGACTAAATTTGACTAATCAGAGGCCTGTAATATAGTCGGTGACAATAAAATGGCCCATGAAAATGATATAAGTCGGTGAAAACCACCGACTAATTGTTTCATGAAACACCCCCAGAAGTGCATATTCCGAGATTTTCATGGTCGCAGCTACCATTGTATTGCCGTATAGGCGCTATTCGAAATTTATCTGGGCACCGATAAATTTGATACTTTAATTTCTCGAAATCCTTGGCGTTTTAGAGCCCAATCTTTAAATCATAATCCAATCCTTTTGAAATATTACCTAAAATTTGAATTACATTTAAGAATAGCACACAACATAAGCCCATTCTCTTACGAAATTCTACAAATTTCTTCTAATTTGCTATTTTTCTGTGTTTGGGAAGGTTTGACATTTCATGTTCTTTGCAAGCATTGAGATTTTACTTTTTTGGTTGATATGTTTTAATTTTTTTTGTTAAAAAGATTTGTAGGCGAATTTTGTTTTTTGCATTTATGGTTGCAATGTTGGTACATTTGTGGTGATTTTATCTTTTCCGGGGGCGATTATCTGTTATTGTTTATTAATTGGACATTATTTTGTGGTGGATTAATTTAACCTTCGTAGGCTCTACAGGACCAACGGACCATATTAGACCTTTTTTAACGGCTTCTGACAAGTATTTCATGATTGGGAGCGTTCCTACATCCGACCTCCGAGATAGTGAAGTACCATCCCTCTCTGCGAAAATGATTCAGTGATCCTCCCCCCCCCCCAAAAAAAAAAAGGAGCCCTTTCCCTCTTTTACAGCAAATTTCACGGGACGATGGAATTGAATTTCGGTCAAAATATCAACGCTGTGTAACAATGTTTGTGTATCATCAGTTACTATGACAATACCATAAAGTAAATGTCAAGTGTTCACTTTTAATTTATCCCCAAGGAAAGGTTCGTAGTTTTAATCTCACCTAATGATAGAATTACGACAAGGCAATTATCTTAACTTCAGTTTAGTCTGCAATGGGATGACGCGCCGTGTTAATTAGTGCCGACAAGGTGGACGTGGAAATAACGAGGCATAAATTGCAATTTCTATACTATATGCCATCAGAATGGTAATAATGATACTAATTATGATAATAATGATACAAATAATGGTGATGATAATAATTCGCTATCCTAGCAACATGTTTTTGTCAAATGAGTTTTTCACATTTAAAGTAAGAGCGTAAAATATTAAAAAGACATAACAAATCAAATGCTGATGGCCTCGGCTTTTTTCTTCCAGTTATTCTTCGGCTAAAAAAAAACTAATCGCCCTATACTACAACTGCTAAAACTGTCTCAATTTTTGTTTCTTTCATTCCTAGGTCAGCAATAAATCAGAATGGGGGCCAACATGTTCTACCTGGCTGTAACACTTTTCTGTGTGTTGGGTGAGTACATAATAAAACACTGGAGGAGAACCGTCGTGAGATGGGGAAGAGAGAGAGAGAGAGAGAGAAAGAGAGAGAGAGAGAGAGAGAGAGAGAGAGAAGGATTTTTTTTTTTTTTTTTTTTTTTTGGGGGGGGGGGGGGGGGGTTCAATCACATTAACCTGCGACAGTTAGAAATCACACCCCCTTCATCCCCGAAGCAAAAGAAAATAGGAAATAAGGTTTTTTAATTTGCAGACGATGGTTCAGTACAAAAGGAAGACACTATAATACAATTAGAAATAATAATAATGATGTAATGATGATGAAGATATCAATAATAATAATGGTAATAATAATATTAATAATAATAATATTAATAATAACAATGATAATTTCAATTCTAACAATAATTACAATAACAATGAGTCTACGTCTTATTTGTTCCCAAACCCTTGTATAATAATACTAAGTAATGGAAACAGACATTCAAATATCAAATAAAATAACAGTTTTACTTATTTTATCCTGCATCAAAAATATTTTTTTTTTTATTGGTTAAAAGCGTGTCACATGATCAAAAATAAACCAACTATTTACCCAAGCCGTAAATAGTACCTAAACTAAAAGAACAATTTACGGCTGGGCAATTTGTCAAAAAAAATATTTATGAGAAATATATATTTCAAGTTTTATGTTTATCATTTGATATAAAACAAATATACCCTGCCTTCCTTTCGAGGTGCTGGTTACAAGAATGGGCTTCGGTGACTCAAATGGTACTATTGGAGTCACCTCTTGTACATAGTTGCTAACAGAACTAAGTCAAGACAATGTATATTTGATTATTATTCAAATCGAGAATGATTGCAACCTTTCTTTCGTGAAACTATTTCAAATAAAACCTTTTCTGTCCTCTTACTCCTCGCATTACACATTGGCTTATGTTCGCTCAATTAGTTTTTCAATTGACCCTGGATAATAACCCCCCCCCCCCCCATATCAACTAGCCTCCGAGGACAATAACCCTCAGGAAATTACCCCCATGGACAGTTGCACCGAGTAAATTACCCCATAGGACAATTACCCCCGGTAGATAACCCCGTAGGACAATTACCCCCGGAGAAAAATTACCCTCCGGAAAATACCCTCTACGCCGAACCCCCCCCCCCCCCGTGTGTGTGTGTGTGTGTGTGTGTGTGTGGGTGGGGGAGGATGGAGTTGTAAATGATATCTCGTCCTTTGGCAATTTTTAAAGGGGGAATTATCTTAGGGGGTAATATTCCGGGATGTTATTGTCCTCGGAGGTGGGGGGGGGGGGAGTTTTTGTTTGTTTGGGGGGGGGGGGGTATTGTCCTTGGGGTTAATTTTCCGGGGGTGATTGTCTTAAGGGTAAATTTCCTGAAACGATTCTTGCATAGTCCATTCAATATGAACTCTTCATGACGCATTGGAAATACGTAATTATGACATTAATTTCTTCATGAAATGTCCAGGAGGAGCATTCCTTGTCAAAGCCGACGGAGAAGCAACCACCCCCACGCCAGCTCCAACTATCGCAACAGGTATGACATTTGAATTGAATTCGAAATTGAATTTGAATTTATTATTACCAACCATCATTGACATTATTAGGTCGATCAATATTTGTTGTAAGATGACAAAAACTGAGAATAAAGAATAGCAACAACTTATACGTTTGCAAATAACAATGTATTTATGTTTACATTATAATATTATATTTTTCACTTATTGGTGGACACAGGTAGGCTTATTTTATCCCGTTGTATGTAAAGCGCCATTCACTGCGGAGAACTGCGTCAGACACTGGCTTGGTCTTTGACGCACCGTTGACATCTTACGAAAAGCGAGGGTAAAAAATGCCTTGAATCACCAGCGTACGTACGCACTAATTGACGCATGTAATAACGCATTCCTACGTCAGCAAACTGACGCCTCGCATGCGTCTAGTATTGATGAATGAGGAACTGCACAGTCGTTGAAGACGTTGGTTGTGAGGATGATGATGATGATGATGATGGTGATGATGATGATGATGATGGCGATGATGATGATGATGATGAGGATGATGATAATGATAATGATAATGGTAGGGATGATCATGATGATGATAGTAAAGATGATGAAGATGACAAAAATTGATTACGATGATAAATATAATGATGATGGAGATGACGAAGGTGATGGTTGAAGTGTTACTGAAAGCGACCTTGATGATGTCGATGATGTCGATGATGTTGATGGTGATAGTAATGATGATGACGACTTTGATTGTGGTGAATATGATGATGATGTTGATGATAATGACAATAACGATGACGACTTTAATTCTGCAGCTGCTGAGGATTTTACTTTCTTTTAATTACTTCCTAAAAATCAAATAAACACAAGCATTCACCATGGACGTTTGTTTCAAACGTTGTGGGTAGTTTTCGTGCAATTGCAGAGTATTTCATTTTTGGGGGAAATTTCTTCTATAAATTTTTTCCAAACTGATACAAAACAAAATGAGAAAGCTCAAAAATTCTTTTTGCATCCGTATGAGAAATTAAAAAAAAAAACATCTCTTTAAAACCCACATTATGATTACGTGATATATTTCCAGAAATGACGACAGATGGCGTTTCCACTTCTGGCCATTCCACTTCTGGCAATTCAAGTTCTGGCTCGACTGGAAATAGTAAGTTTTTTTTTGCAATTTGTAAGGTAATAACTCTGAAGAAAAAATGTATATCTTGTACAGGTCCTCCAAACATACCTGGGGGTGTTTCATAAAGCGAACGACTTGTATATGAAGTGCCAGATAGGATGCCCAAAGGTTTTTCTGATATTTTCAATAACCTCAATTAAATTATGGCAAAAAATATACTTTGCATTAAAAATGTTAGCTATCATGAGAATGTTAATCTACATCTGCTCAGTTTTACTTTAGTTGATGTATTTAATAATGATTGAGCATCCCATTTGGCTTTTCATATACGAGTCGTTCGTAAAGTCATGCGTTACTTTACGAACAGCATTATGAAACACCCCCAGGGTAACTAAAGATTTTTTTTTCGGCGGTTGGGGGTGGTTGTCACATGGGTCATGCTTTTTGGATATGCCTCTGCATGTTATATTCGATGCTATAAGTACGGCACTTATAACCACTTTGTTCATTCATGAATCAGATAATATGATTTCTTTTGAGAAAAAACCCCAATAACAATGCATGTGATTATGTTTATTTAATTGAATCATTAATCGGTTTATACAGAAAACAAACACAAATTTAAATGACTTTATGTGCAAATGGGAAACGATACGAAAATAGATGGTTGAAATTCTAAACCATTGTGCTTGTCAACTTAAAACATGGAATAAATTTATTATCAAATTGAGATTGGGGAGGAAATTTTCATTCATTACGAATTGTACACTACGAAATGTTTTGGATTAAGAGTGCTTAGAAGAAGAAAAAAATATTTCTTGATTGATTCCATCCCACAAAGTGCAAAAGTTGTTGGGAAATTTTGAAAAATGGGATTCGGAAGATGGGAACATAAAACCCAACTTCTTTTAAACATCAAATAAAATATACATTGTACATACTTTTTTTCTTCTTGAATCCCCCTCTTTGTCTGTCTCTTACTCTTCCATTGTTTGATTCCAGTGACAACCAGCATGGTAACTGAAGCTGCAGGGATTACCAGTGGTGGAGGGGTAAGCTGCAGAAACATATAGATGAAAATTGTTATTAAATGATTATAAGCTGTTGAGAGCGAAAACAAAAAGAATGTTAACTCTACGTTAAACGATATTAGTTAACGCCCTCCTGACTCTATGCTGACAATAATCTAATTGTTACACCTACAACCAACCACGCTACGACTTACACCATCGTGTAACACCAACAACCAACCACGCTACGACTTTCACCATCATGTAACACCTACAACCAACCACGCTACGACTTTCACCATCATGTAACACCTACAACCAACCACGCTACGACTTACACCATCGTGTAACACCTACAACCAACCACGCTACGACTTACACCATCATTTAACACCTACAACCAACCACGCTACGACTCAGAAATTTTATTCCGCCACTCCTCCTTTATCAATTTCTGTATATTCCACTGGGGTAATACATAGCTATATGGTTTAAGATCAAATAATTTGATAAATTATTGATAGTTAACAGGACACACACGAAAATTGCTTGATTTGCACTTTGTTCTAAGGCTAGAAAGCATCATTTTTTGTGCAAATCATTTTCCGCGAGGTTTTCGAAAAAAATCCAGTGCTCACTCCAGCGTAAAATATCATCAACTTGTTTGTAGTGCCATTCGATTGAATAGACGTTCATCGGTAATTTCATAGGGAAAATTCATGCACATATCTTGAAATTATGATTCTGGAGGATACGTTCAAATTTAGTTCTCTGTAATACAGATATCGATTTTGCGGGGCTAACGATCAACAAAAGAGAATTCCGGTTTTTGAAGAAAAAAACGGAATAATGAGAAAATAAGATCAATGAAATTTTGAGCTCAATCATATTGAAGATAAAGACCCGTTCTGGTCATGCGATTGCATTGTGAAAGAAACGTTGTGGAATCGATCAGAGAAAGTTGATCATCTAGCATATAAGTATTGGTGTGTACTGAAAGGTTCTGGAATCATCAAAATGATAAGAAATTTGGCCCAGTATTGGTAAAGTTACAAGCACTGTACACAAGATGTAGGCCTGACTACGTGACACGTGCGCGATATCTATCCGGTCCATATAGATTTAATAATTTACCAAATATATATATTAGTAGGCGGTTTCTTGGCAAATTTTGTATCATCACGTATTTGTAAAAACATTTCTTTCACATGATTGGTAATAAGAGCTTCCATTTCATTTTTTGAGGGGGGGGGGGGGCATTTCCAAAACTGGTCCTTACCTTAAAAAGAATTTTGAAAACATTTATTCCTCACTTAATACCGGGGTGAACTTCCAAATTAATTCTTGTTATTATTCATGTTGTTGTTGTCAGAATGTGCAATGCCTGGTTTGTACAGGAGACATGGATAGTACCTGTAACAGTGATGAACCTGTCAGCTCTATGACCGGTATCGTAAGGGTGGATACATGCCGATCTTGCAGGGTAAGTATACACGTGCTTTTGTCCGCACGCGCGCGCGTGTGTGTGTGTGTGTGCGTGTGTGTGTGTGTGTGCGTGTGCTAGATTTTTGCTTTTTTGTTTGTTCTGAACGGAATTGTTTAATGAGATTTAAATAATTTTTTATTAAGAACCAAACAAAATATACATAAGGTTTTTTTTTGGGGGGGGGAGGGGGTAGGGAGGGGGTTTTATGGAGAGGGGAGATTTTTTAGGGGGAGAAAAGGGGTATTGAAGTTGAGAGGGAGTTTGAGGTATTTAATGCTAAATTGTTTCTATTCTGTAATTTTTTGTCGTATTATTTAAAATGTATGAGCTTGTTTTTTGTATTATCTAGATTTGTATTATCTCTCGATCAGCATATCCTACCCTGCACATATAAACCATTTTAAGTGTATAGGTCAGTTAGCTCAAGAGGAATATTCATCTGTTCATAAACTCTCCTCACCTGTTTTTTTTTTATTTTTTAATATATGTTTCTGTGTTTATATGACTACAGGTGAACAAAGTTGATGGTGGAAAGGACACAAACATCACAGCGATCTCACGGCTATGTAACATGACTGACGCCTGTCCATCGGACCTCGCTGACCCAATGGATTTCCGATGCAACGAGGCCGCCTCCATCCGTGCCTGTGAATGGTGCTGTGTCGGTAACAGCTGCAACAACTTTAATCGCAACGGCGGCAACGCCCTGGTGGCAGGGCTGGTCATCGACGGCTGGTCAACCAACAAACTACTCTACGTTGTCATGTCCGCGATGGCGGTATCGATGTCCATCCCAACCATGGGGTAAAGCCACAGAGGCTGAGGCGTAGTGGGAACGGTTCGAATGGAGGTATCGGATAGGCGAGGGGGGGGGGGGGGGGGTGAAACCAAAATCATTTTCTGGTAAATTTGGAGGGGTAGGCCTTTACTGGAGTGTATTTTTATTCTGCAGGGGGTGGGGGTTCTTACCACAGCAAAATATCATGTAGACAAATCAAGTTTCTGATATCGATCCATCCATAGAAAAACAAAAAAATTCAACGCTCTTTATTTTGTAACAGACAATTAGAGCGCCCACAGATCTTGACAATGGAGATAGATTCATCAATACTTAAAACGTAAGGCCCTACGAGGTCGATTAAATGATCATTAATTATGTAAACATCGTCCTTCTAACAGCACACCTTCGACTGGAGACGTTGCCTTTGACGTAGTGAGTGTATGTTCCCGTAAATCTCTGCCAAGGGATTGGGGGGGGGGGGGAGGGGTAAGACTGGATGCAATATCACAACTTAGACAAGAAAATAAAGAGATAAAAAAGAGAAACATGTTTTCACATGCGCAGTGCCTTTCGAATCATAAAATATTAAGGGGTGTGATAACCAAACTGAGGTATATTGTTTGTGTTATGTGAGATTGCGTTTTTAATAAGGGGGTGGGGCAAGGGTTAGTTTCCCTCCTAAATCCGCCACTGATATCTAGGGGGGATTTTTAGAATCACAAGAAAGGATATTTTAGTGTAGGGATTTATTATTATTACTATAATTATTATTCTTATGATATTATTATTATTATTATTATTATTGTCACTATTATTATTATTACTACTACTATATTCCCACCACTACTACTACTACTACTACTACTACTACTACTACTACTACTACCACTACCACTACTACTGGGCATATTTGGCGTCATCTGTGGCTTGGTGGGGAAAATAAACTGAATCCCTGTGCCCCCCTTTTTTCTTCAATTTATAAATATGTTTGAGAGGAATTGTTTCTGATAACAGGTTTTATTGTGTGTATTTGAATGTATGATGAAATCTTGGTCAATGCCTTAATGTGATTTAAGCAAGTATCACAATAAATCAAGAAGATAATAAAGTGGCATGGTGGCTCAGTGGTTAGAGCGCCCGCCGCCTCATGAACAGGAGGTCGTGGGTTCGAACCCCGGCCGAGTCATACGAAAGACACATAGCAATGGGACCTTCTGCATCTGTCCGTGACGTACAATCACCAGCATCTGGTTGTCGCGTATGTTGGGTTTGGGTCAAAACGCTAAACACGCCTAAATATTGAAGTGTGCTTCAGCTACAAGGTTTTTAATGTCTAATGAGTCCAATTTGATTTTAAAAGTTTTCACATCGGGTGAGTTTCTTGTTTCCTCATGATGATTCCATTCGGGGACACTCAGCTAGACGCTCAGCATTATTAGATTGGAGAAGGGTAGTAATAACATATTATGTTCTGCAGGGCCTGCTGGAAGAGCAGTTCATAATTGAAATGGCTACCTTGGGTAAATAAAACGTTATTATTATTATTATAAAGTACGATTCGTTGCATATACTGTAAGCGTGTGTTGGAGAATAGGGGATTGTCTTATCATTTCTAAGGTGTCGTCGGCAACATTTCACCCCTCCCCCAACAATTCGATACTTGCACACATTGTATTTAGACTTTGAAATAAGACGATGTGCATTCTTTGAACACAGTCCATGACAAATCGTATAAATATCTTTGAAAATTCAAGACCTGTTTTCTTTTGCTAATCATTTTGTAAATATGACTGCACTGTACGTTTCTGACTAATATCATGCACCTTTATGTTCTTGATAATTTTGTCTTTAGAATTCTCATAGAATTTGTCAGAATCGAAGGGAAATTAAATTGCTCTAGATTATTATAATAAAAAAAATACTTTCATTTGGGTTGTGTATTAAGCTGGTTACGTACATTTCCGTTGTTGCAACAATTTTCAATAATTCATATATCAATTTTAGCTGTAACTTCTAAGTTAAGCATCTGGAAAATGCAATGTAGGCCTATAGATTGCATTTGTATTCACATTTAACTTGAGTATGTTAATGTGATTGCAAATTCTCAGAATAAGGCAAACAACAAATATCGAACAAAATTATCACAGAAACTAACAAAATAATCATTTACACTTTCCAACTCATGACAGAATGTTATGGTAATTTCAGAAGGATGTAAGAAACAGAGGTTACGGCCCAAAATCGGTTGGTCAGGTTTTGAATAGGTTTGATGATGAGACTGAGGTATACGACGATTTATAAACTATAATTCGTACACAAGATGAATGCTTTTCCGTCCAAAATAGTCATGAACATGTACTAATATTAGATAGAGGGAGGTAGAGACATATAGAGAGAGGGAGTCGACAGGTTAATACCATATGTGAAAAATTTATTTTGTTTATCTTCTTTTAATATTTATGCAACTGCTGTTTATATACGTCTTGACGATTGTGTGGAATAGTGTGTTACAATATCTAAAGATGATGCAATAAATTATTATCGTTTGACGTGATTGCCGATTATTGTACATTTGTGTTCATGTTTTAACAATGATAATTTGTACAATCTGATCAAATAACGCACTTTATCAAGTAGAAAGCTTGTAATATAAGATGCAATATCGCTAAATAAGAATTAAACTAGAATATGAATTAATTATGAAAATAATAAATTTACACTCATTTATGCGTTTTAGGATTGGAAATATTCAGTAAAAATGTTTTAAATAAGCTTTAAGCATGTATATTGCCTGTATGATTATAGACGATTTATAATTATTGTTATCATGACAATTTGATTTTATTAGAACAAATATCGACAACAGGATATTATATGCAAGATACTAATTTTATGTCAAAACAAATATACTTTCGTGCACATTCCGTTCATCAAGAAAATAACCATTTATTTGAGGATATAATATAATTAATTTTTACAAGAAGAGTGTAAACGTAATTAAAGTTACTCCTCCTTGATAATAATAATTATGATGATAATGATAATAACAATAATAATAATGATAATGAAAAATGATATTTGTAATAATAGTAGAATTAGATGATGAGGATAATTATAATGAGGATCATAATAATAATAATAATAATAATAATAATGATAATGAAAAATTATATTGGTAATAATAGTAGAATTAGATGATGAGGATAATTATAATGGGGATCATAATAATAATAATAATAATGATAATGATAATAATATTAATAATACTTATTATGAGGATTATAATAATAATAATAATAATAATAATAATAATAATAATAATAATAATAATAATACTAATAATAATAATTATAATAATAATAATAAATATAACAATGGTGATTATAATCAATAATAATGATACTAATGATAACAACACTAATGATATAAAAACAGAATATAACGAAAGTAGATAATTGCAGAAGAGTATTAACATTTTAATTAACATGCACCAACGGATTATTCTGGCCATGCACTCTTTATGTTTTCTAAAATTCAATAAATTTAGCTTTTTGAAAAAATAGAAGAACGTTGTAGAAGTCATTGTTTACAACTAGGGACGATTGCTATTCAAAAGACAAAATGTGAGATTGAGGGAGACTTTAAAGCGGAATCCCACAGTTTAATACAGAAAAAAGGATGGAGACTGAGCTAAAGAGAAACAAGAGATACGCGTGAAGTGAAACTGACAAGTTAGACAGAGAGAGAGAGAGAGAGAGAGAAAGAAAGAAAGAAAGAGAAAGTGAGAGAGAAAAAGAGAGAGAGATAGATGATAGTGGTGAAGTTAGAGAAAGTAGGCGGGTCGAAAGGGAAGAGAGAGAGAGAGCCTGAGATAGAAAGAGAGAGAGGGAGGTGGTGAAAAAAACGAAAGAGAGGGAGAGAGAGACCTAAGTGAAGAGAGGATTTACACAAACGCACAAATAGCGCACAGAAAGAGAGAGAATGAATAATAAGAAGAAGGATCTAATCGAGGTAAAGATCGAGGGTATGGCACGTTATATATAATATTATACAAATAATGAATGGTTATGAGTTCAATAGTGCGAATATTTTCATGAGTTGAAAGATTAACATTCTATTCAAAGAGGCGTCAGCCGAGTTGAATAGAATTAACGTTAATCTTTCAACGAATGAAAATATTTGCACTATTGAACGAATGAAAAACATTCATTATTTGTTTTATACAACATCAACGAAGATCTAATAGAACGTTAATCAACATATTATGCTTTACTCCTTATATTGATTAAAGTTGGAGTCGAGCCTTCTCGATTACATACATGTACATTCAGATTACCTTCGCGTCAGATACACACAGGGATACGCGCACGGCAGAGAGGTACGCAGTCTGCATATAACCAAAAATGCACGCCCGTGCAATATAACATATATTGAATATCATGTGACCAACAATCCTCCACTCAAATGACAAGGATCCACGTAGGTGTTGTATAAATTGTTTTATTACGTAATAATAGATGCACGTGTTCATGTGCGTGTGTATACGAGAATAAATTGTCATTGTCATTTTCATTGTCATTGTCATTGTCATTGACATCGTCTAAAACACCAACTGCTACATACATACATAGTTAGATAGGCGAATCACTTCAATAAAAACCTACACAAAATGTAAAACTCATTTAAAATCAACGGCACATGTTTTCCTTAGATCAAAATGATCTAGCAGAAACTGACACCCCTTGAATCTTTCAATTATTTATGTAGAGAAGTGAAATACCGACAAGGCACTGGTAATCTATTTTGAATGTTTGAAATTTAGCGGGAACACCGGTAAATTTGTGATTATTTAATTTCTCGAAATCAGAAGTGTCTTAGGGGCTAATATTTGTATTGCTTATAATACATCCACAGGGGCATCCAAGTATATCAACATTTTAAAGAATTGCTATCTATCCAATTTTCAAAATTTCCCAAAACTTTGCATTACCTTTAAGGCCGGGATATGGACAAATGTCGATCTTTTTGCCTGTCGGCTAGTGTGGCTAAAGGCCTTTGAGACCGGCAATGTTGGTCTGGTGGGTTGTCGGTTGCCCGAGGCCGTCAGTCTAAAAATAGAATAATTTTTTAAAGTTTTTTTTAACAACTTTATTTTGAAATTAGTCATCCTAAGTAATAGCTACGGACTGGTCGCATTAGCGTATGAAGACACGATCCCCGAACGCCCCCACCTTACCATAATTATTAAGAACCTTTTTTTTTAAATCAGAAAATCGTTCGTGGAGCAACTTTAAAATACCCCACCACACAAATTGACCGCACGTTTGTAGGCTAACCAACGCTTCACCTATGAAGCTAACTCTAAAAACTCAAGATTCTTAGGGAACACTAACCCTAACCCTATTACCGACTCTAATCCTAGGTGTTGGATGTTCATGTAGATTTATTCTATTAGTGGGGTAATGTAGCCCCTTTAAAGTATTGGGTGCACCAAATTCGCCAAAAATTTGATGGCAAAATTTCACTTAAATTGTATCAT